CCCCCACGATCCTACCTCGGTGTCTGTCGCTCAGGACTGTCACCCTGCAATCATCTCGAAGGGGCCAACCTGACCGGACCGGACAGCGGTGGCAGGTACCAAGGCTAAGCAGGGCCCTTTTTTTTTTTTTTTTTTTTTTGCAGAACCCTAATCGTCCCACCCAACCCTGATCGAACCATAGTCGGACGAGCCGTGCCACCCGGGTACTTCGGCGCTAGGCGTAGACCTTTTTCTACAAGTCCCATAGGTAGACCCCAAAATCCTATCCCCTCCCAAAGTTGTCGTATTGTTCAGCATTTAATTATTTAATTTGTACGGCTGTTTTTTTTTTTTTTTTTGCCGATCGGGCGGCTCCATCTATTGGTGGGGGGAGCTGCACCTGCTGGAAACCGGGTCCTGCGTCCCATTGATACATCTTTTTTTTTTTTTTTTTTTTTTTTTTCCTTTTTTTTTTTAACATCGCTGAATCGAAGATCATGCTAATGAAGGTGATGTAGTTCATCAATTGTTGGTCATTGTTTCCTGCGGCTGTGGTTATTTGTCTTGCTGGTCCGGGGCTCTCCATTGTCCCATGGAGCTGCTAGTTGCGACCTAGAGGTTCTAGCCTATTATCAGCGGATGTACGGCCCTCTATCCGCCCTCTGCCTGTAAATGTTCCTCTAGAGTCCTTTTTTTTTTTTTTTTTTTTTTTTTTTTTTTTTTTAAACGGGCCCAGTGCCCAAGGCTGATATTATCGAAAGGAAGATTGAGTCCGGGGTCCTCACAGTCTACCCGGAGTGACCGAACCAAACATGCTGAGAACCGGGCTCAGCGTCCCTCATCTGACGATGATGATGATGTTCCCCTAGAGTGCTAGACCCCTCTCTAGTCACATTGTTGTAGTTGTATTTCATGGTCGTACTTTCTTCTGTTGTTGTTGTTGTTTTTTTTATTATATATATTATATAAAAATAAACTGAACAACTTTTTTTTTTTAATTGTTCAATTATTTATTTATTATTTATTCATTTTTATTATTTTTTTAAAGCAAAGACATTCAATTATGTGACCCTGATGTTATTTTTTATTTTTTTTATTTTTTTCAAAGCAAAGACATTCAAATTCAATTGTTATACTGGTACGGTCCTGAGACATCCCCATTGACACTGCTCTCCCACCAAATGAAAGCTACCACCCCCCCTTAGTGGTTACCCATCGTTTTTTTTTTTGTTTTTTTTTTTCAGAGCAGTGCAACCTCAAAATCTGCTCTAGTGGGGCTTAGAGTAGGTGAGGGTTTCCCTTCGGTTTGTTCGGCTTTTTAGGCTATGAAGCTACTGTTGTTTAAACTAGCTCAGAAAGGGGACTGCAGGGCAAGGACCTAAGTGGCAGAGTACGCCCTAGTTAAGGACTCCCCATCTGAAGCATAAGCAAACCTGACTGAGGCTGTCAGAGGTTCTCTACTGGGTTGAATTGTGGGGTCCCCGGCCCCGAATCGATTTTGTAAGAGACATATTTGCTTATAAAAAAAAAAAAAGGGGTAACTTCGGCGCAGTCACGAAAACAGTTTGTAATTGCACTTCAGGCAATCCTGGGAATACAACACACCCCCACGCGACCCCACCAGACCCGAAACGTAGGTCATATACATTCAGCATTACCGGCCCTTTTGCCTCAAGTGCAATTACAAACTCAATCCTTGACTGCGCCGTAGTTTTCTCAAAAAAAAATCTGCTCTAGCTCCGCTCATATCCTTGAATGCCCTGGCACCCACTCCCTTCCACATGGCGCCCTTCGAAGCCAAGCTCCCCAAACCCCGTCCCCCAGCCACCTATTCCTTATAGGACCGACCTTCATCCATTTCATGTCAGCTTGATCAGGCTAATTGGAATTGAACCCTGGGCCTTCCCCCATCATCCACCATACAGCCCCGGAGTTTTTTTTTTTTCCTGGTATGTTCACGCGCTATGTTGGACCGGGGGACAAGTGAACACACATGAGGACAACCCATACACAAGTTGTGATTAAAAAAAAAAGAAAAAAAAAAAGAACATCAGGCAAACCTCTCATAGCCTAGACTCCAGCAAACAACAACCATGGACTGACCCCTTGGGTGGCATAAGCAGTGTCTGTAATCCTTACCATGGATGCACCAAGCCAATGGATTGGTGTGTACACCCATGCGTCGGTCAACGCCCGCCGGTGTCCATGCGCAAGGCTGCCGGGTTTTGAACCCACAACCTCAGGCCACAATGTTCATTTCCGACGGGCGCTCTACGCACTCAGCTTATCAGCTGCTCTTTTTTTTTTTTTTTTTAAAGGGCCATGGCCTGGAGGTATTATCATCGGACTAACCAGCCCAGGTAAATTCAATATTGTGTCTAATCTGACATCAGGTGGCCTTTTCAGCCCAGGGTGGCATTTATTTATTGCCTTCAGGGAACCCCCAATGGGGGGGGACACCGGCCAGGGGACAGCCGGTAGCAGAGCAGCTGCTCATATTCAAACACCTTTAACACCTTACAGTAACCCGCATAACAGATCCTTCTATTTATTTATTTATTTACTTATTTATTTATTTATTTACTTATTTATTTATTTATTTGAAGACTACAACAGATTCTTATGGAAATACCAAATCGTTTTGCTCCTTTTGTTCAGGGGCATTTCTCTGATGTATTTATTTATTTATTTACTTGAAGGCTGCAACAGATTCTTATGGAAATACCAAATCATTTTCCTCCTTGTTGTTTAGGGGCATTTCTGTGATTTTACTGACAAACCAAGTGATGGATGTTGTGCAGGGCTTGTGCAACACCTCTATCACGGTGGTGGTAAGAGAGAACCACCACCACCAGAACCGAGGCTTTGCCAGTCGGGCTGCTGCATCTATTGGTGGGGAGCATCACCTGCTGGAAACCGGGTCCAGCCTCCCTCCATACAAAATCGAGGATCCAAGATGTGCAGGGCAGGGCTAATTTCTTGTGAGCTCGTTGTTGTTCAGGGGCATTTCTGTAATGCGACCTCTCTGCTGCAGGGCTGCTCTTGTAAGCTATGACCATCTCAGTAAAGGGTAAGCAGAGGAAATAGCAAAGCAGAAAACGACAAAGTCGCCCCTCCTTCATGCTTTCGCCGCGGCTTCGGTTGATCGGCAAGTGGACAATATAATTGAAATGACACAAAGGAGGAGGATGAGGAGGGGGAAGAAGAAGTGAAATCCTTTCGTTGGTTCGTTCATGCCTTCTTTCATTCATTCATTTGTCTTTCATTTCATTGCAACCATTCATTGCTTTGCATTGCAGTTGCATTTGCGATTGCAATTGCGATTGCGATTGCGATTGCATTGCAATTGCCAACCGCAGTGGGTGCACAATGCCCGCTCGCTCTCCAAAGTACTACCGAAGTGCAAAAAGTGCCGACGATGATCCGGATGTCGACTATACCCCCTTCACCCCTTTGTGGCGAATATGGGACCAGAAAGCGCAGAAAGACGGGGACCGCAAAACCGTGTACTGGGTTGTCGGGGAGACCTACAAGGGTCAATGGAAGGACAACCGGAAGCATGGCAAAGGGACGTACAACTACAAGAGCGGAAACATGTACGAGGGTGAGTGGAGAAATGGGAGAAGAGAGGGAAATGGCACATTGTGGGTACCATTCGGCGGAACTTATCGAGTCGAATACTCAGGCGTGTGGAGGATGGGGAAGAAGGACGGTTTTGGGATATTGTACAGCGAGTACGGGGAGAGATACGAGGGACAGTTTAAAGGAGGTTTAAGGCATGGTAAGGGCCGACAAACGTACCTGGGACCGGGACGAGGTCCCGACGGGTCAGTCGATGTCCACGTCTACGAAGGCAGCTGGAAGAACGGGAAGCGAGACGGGCACGGCATTGTCGTCATGGCGAACGGCGACACGTACGAAGGCTCCTGGGTCAACGATCTCAAAGAAGGCCCCGGAGTTTTCTACTACGTCAGAAAGGGCACCAAATATGACGGAGTGTGGGAGAGAGATGTGCCCAAGTGCGGCACTTACGACAGATACTCTAACCTAGATGCCATCCCCAAGATACCTATCATAGAACTTCAAGACGCTCAACAGGTGCTCAGCACTGCCGTCAACCAAGTTCTGAACAGAATAAAGTTCCCGATGGCATCGGCAGAGAACAACCAAGGCGACACCGCCAAGTTCAGCAAAGACGAAAACACCGACAACGAGACCCTCATCGCCACCACCAACAACAACAACCACGACGACGGCAACCACAATGACGGCAGTAACACTAACGAAAATACCGACACGAACAACAAAAGCAACGCCAATTCCGCGGACATACCCAACAACAACGATCACGACAACATTAACAGCAAGAAGGAAAACAAGCGCAATAAATCATCACCAGAACCACCACCAGCATGACCACCACCACCACCACCATCGAGAACAACAACAACAACAACGAGAAAAACAGTGGCGGTGATGGCACCAACAACAACAACAACAGCAGCAGCAACAACAACAACAACAACAACAACAACAACAACAACAACAACAACAACAACAACAACAACAACAACAACAACAACAACAACGACACGTCAACAGCAGCAGCAAGAGGAACAACAAGAAGAAGGACAATGGCAATCTATCAAGTAAGCAAACAAGCAAGAACAAAGAGAACAACGACGGAGGTGATGACAACAACAACAACAACGGCAACAGCAGCAGCAAGTGGAACGACCAAGAAGGACAACAACAATCTATCCGGTACACAAACAAGCAAGAACCAAAGCAGCAAAAGCAAACAACAGCAAAAGTTAAGCAAGAACGAGAGCAGGAGAGTCATAGCAGCAGTACCCAGAGGCGCTTGAGGAGTGTCAGCAAGGTCGCTTTGGGCCAATGGAAAGGGGGAAGGGGGGCGGGCGGGGGGGGGGCGTTGACGGGGGTTCCATTACCGATTTTGAGTACAAGAAAATAGCCACGCTGAAGATGATCCGACGGTTATGGACTTTTTTGGACTTTTGAATCTTTTGATTGCTTGTGGTACCTGACTGGGCAGTGCAGCAGGTGCTGGACCAGAAGTTGGACCAGAAAGTGGCCCAGAATGCGCCAGAAAGTGGCCCGAGGTTGAGCGAGAAGTTGGACCACATGTCGGACCAGGAGGTGGACCAGAAGTTGGACCAGAAAGTGGACCAGAAGTTGGACCAGAAAGTGTCCCGAGGTTGAGCGAGAAGTTGACCACATGTCGGACCAGAAGGTGGACCAGGAGGTTTTCATGCCGTCTGGAATCAAGAGATTCCAAGGAATCCACTAATAACTAGCTCCCAGGCATCTCAGACAATGCAATGCTGGTGCATTTTTGCAGGGCTGCCACAAGCAAGTGCCCATCAGTAGAATAATTCATGCCAGGCTTGCTGTCCCGAGAAAATAACTGTTCGAGGTGGTAGTGGTTGACTGGACTAATTGAGTGGACCAGACTCCAGACATCAAAATGGACAAAATATTACCTAATGTCAAAATATGGTATCCAACAGGGCGGTGGGGCAGCTCTTGGACCTGAAGTTGGACCAGAAATAGGGCCAAAAGTGCACCAGAAATTGAACCAGAGAGTGGGCCAGAAGTTGGACCATGTGCACCAGAACCTGGACCAGAAGTTAGACCAGATGTTGGATTACAAGACGGACCAGAAGTTGGACCAGAAGTTGGACCAGAAGTTGGACCAGAAGTTGGACCAGAAGNTGGACCAGAAGTTGGACCAGAAGTTGGACCAGAAGTTGGACCGGAAGTTGGACCGGAAGTTGGACCAGAAGTTAGACCAGATGTTGGATTACAAGCCGGACCAGAAGTTGGACCAGAAGTTGGGACCAGAAGTGGACCAGTTGTTGGACCAGAAGTTGGACCAGAAGTGGACCAGTTGTTGGACCAGAAGGTGGACTGGTCAAGCACGTCTTGGACCCAAAGTTGGACCAGAAATTGGACCAGAAGTTGCACCATGTGCAGCAGAACCTGGACCAGAGAGCGACCAGAAGGTGAACCATGTGCACCAGAACCTGGACCAGAAGTTAGACCAGTTGTTGGATTACAAGCCGGACCAGAAGTGGGACCCGAAAGTTGGACCAGAAGTGGACCAGTTGTGGGACGGATGTGTACCAGCAAATGCACCAGAAAGCCGATCAGAAGGTGGGCCAGTTGTTGTTGGGCCAGGTGGTCATGCAGCTTGGAAGCAAGAGATTCCATTAAGAAACTCGCTACCGTCTTCACCCGGATAGAACGAACACCCAGTCATTGTTGCTACACCTAGACAGAAAGTCAGCCCAAATACAGCAATAGTGACCAGCCATTCTATTCTATTCTGGTGAAGACAGTAGCAATGGGATCTGAGACATGCAATGGTGCTGCATTTGCAGGACTGCCACAAGCACGTATTCATCACCTTTGTCTTTCCCTTTTCGTCTTTTTTTTGGGGGGGGGCAGCGGAGGGGTCAGGCGCCACCAGCAGAATAATCCATGCCAAGGTTGTCCCAGCAAATTTTGCATTCAGGTGGTAATAGTGGTGCATTGAATAATGATGGAACTATAGAACACCCAGTCATTGTAGCGGTATTTGGGCCAACTTTGAGTCTAGATACAGATATAATGACCGGGCGTTCTATTCGGGTGAAGAAGGTATCGGGTGAAGAACGTAGGCGTAGCACGATATCCAGTCCAGATTCTGTACAATGGGTAATGTTGCCCAAAGTCAACGCTATCCAACATGGATAAAGGTTATTTCGGATAATATTTCCACATTTTACATTGTCATTATTTTATTACCCATGCAGAAAACCTTACCGTCTCTCTCTCTCTCTCTCTCTCTCTCTCTCTCTCTCTCTCTCTCTCTCTCTCT